CTGGGAAGCAGGTGTTTTTATTCGCTGATCACGAAATGATGGCAGTCTTTCTCTTGCTATTTTGCCTATGAGTGATCTAGTTACAGGAAGTCCCGAATGGGCGGCTTGGTGTCTAAGCCATAATGCAATCAAGTTCTGGAAATGTGGTTTGTTTGTTCAGTTAGCCGTGAACGTTGAGGTCGGAGCATACTGCGTGCGGAAAATCTAATTGGCATGCATTTCCCCAATACATTATATTTTTAAGCGTCGTTCTAAAAGCATTCATTTTCACCAGAGCAAAATATACCCGCTTACCCACAGATGAAAGATAAAAAATTGATAATGCTGTCTTGGCAGGACAAAAGAAGCGTACAAACAGCCCATTTAGTTGTTTCAGATGCTCAGTGAGTTTTCTTTAAAACTGTGTTAGCATCTACGTCCAGTAAGTTGTGGACATTAAAGATTTACGACATACGTCATAGAGTTGTGTTCAGTGTTTTTTGTTGTTGTCTTTTTGAGGTGCATCAGAGCCGATCTTATCTATATTTGTATGGCTACATATCTGTACATATATATGCCTATAAATATACATATATATATATATATATATATATATATATATATATATATAATATCAAGTGGCTATCTTGGCATCTCTGAAAGTCATATTTTGGGCCCCTTGAATTTGGGTTGACATTTTATTCGTTTCTTTGACTAACCTTGATTAACTTGGCTCGGTGGTTTACGGCGCGCCGACTGCAAATGGTCATGCGGCCCCTCCCCCCTCCCCCTCCCCCTCCCCCTCCCCCTCAATCAACTGAAGGAATTGGATGGCGTGATATAGTCACTGAATTGACACAGAATCCATTGCGTCGGCCGAATTCAAAATGATTCGGCGTTGCTGTCATTACATTAGGGTGGAATATTGTTTAGAAAAATGCGCATGTCTGCTCATAGATAAGAGTTGAACCCGGGACAACGGCCTGCCGGGTCACGGTAACTCCGTGAGTGTCTCTGTCATCTGCGGTCCGTGTCGTTGGACTGCGGTGACCCCTGCGGTGACCCCCGGTGACCTGCAGCCCCACAGGGGGTTGGTGCTCTCGCTCCAGCGGGCGCCCACGCGAACTGGGTGAGACGCCTTTCCAAACACCTCCCGATCCACCAGCCGCTGCCAGTCGTCCGCGCTTCTTCCGCGGTGTTGACCGCTGATGGACCGCAATCTGTGCTATCCGGAGGAGCACCCTCCTGGAAATTAGTGTGTGTCGGCTGTGTGGAGCGACGGCCGGTCGGCTGAACACCCGCTGAATCGGGCTCAGCCGATGGTGAGCGAGCTCAGCAGCGGCTGGAGACTGGCGTGGTGACAGGATAGACGGGGTGCGACGCATGGCGCTGGGGCAAGGGCTCGGGCTCGAGAAACTTCGGGTGTGGAATGCCAACAAGAGCAAAAACACGAGGAAACAGTATCACGAAGGTAGAAATTGGGCGGGATTTTGTATCCCCTTTTGGATCGACCTTGCCGTTGAAAGCCGAAAAGTGACGGACACCTCCAGATCATAAATTTATCGTTCCTTTACGTGACTTGAAAAGCCTTTGTTTTACATTCCTGCCATCTGTCATGATCAAGAGAGATTTCCGACCGCACAAACCATGATTGTTCCACTGAAACCGCAATTCTTACTTTTCCCCGAATGCATAGCAATTTTACTGGAGATGATGGGCAGCCTTTTGCTGGATGTGTATGTTGCCTGGAGTAAGTAAGAAAACCCTTGTTTATCAGGGCCACGAATTGTGTCGCAAATCGACGATGCGCCAACTTACTGTCGACTCGTCGAGACAGAGTAACCCCTAACCACAGACGAAATTGCTTCCGTTTACAGAAATTGGCGTTTCCAGCTACATCGCGAGTTTGTTTCTGACCGGAGTTGAGCATCGAGCGGCTTATCATGGCCGGCTTGGTAAAAGTTTGAAGATTTTTGTCAATGGCCGGGGTTATCTTTTCTGTGTCTTCCGAGAAGTGCTCCTGCGGTCGCTTGACTTTGGCTGACTAAATGTTCGTATCTACATGCCCTTTTCTTTAAATGCTTCCTGTAACAGCGCGCTCGCGCACATCACGACCGCGGCGATGAAACGCAGCCACGCGTCGACCGATTACGTGCATTCTCTCCCGCACCCTGGACGTGCCACCACACACAACGGCCGTCCAGACTGGCGAACGACAGGTTCCTTTGTGTGCTGTCCGTCTGGCAGGCGGGCTCGGTGCAGCGTGTGCCACAGGCGGCAGGAGCAGCTCAAGCCCGGCCAGGGTAGCCCCTCTGGCCCGTACAACGCGGCAATTCAGATCCCGCTGCCAGGCACTAGATGTGTGCTGGATTGCGGTCCGATCGATTCGCGGTGCTTATGTAACGTGCCCCATCTTGGAACATGGTCAGCGAATGATGAATTCAGGCGGCCCCGTCTGATCTGGACCGCGGCGTTCGAACAGCTCTGATAGGCCTGTCAGTGTAAGTTTGGTTGCAGCAGGCTGGATCGCGTCGTAGTTCCGTCGCTGGCCTGCAGCAGACTGTCTGTTCTGACGCCTTGAAAAATCGTCCCCATCGCCCCAGCGCTGAGCAGCTCGCTGATGACCTCGTTGATGACCTCTTGCTCGCTTGCAAGACAGTACACGGCTGCCGCATCGCTGCGCTGTGCATTTACATCACAGAACGGGCCGCTATCAATTCTGTCGGGCTAAAAGGCCGGAGAAGTAAACAGGCCATGAAGCGGAAAGCCCGACGTGGTTTCAGGGAATAAAATGCATGCAAATGGTGTTGTTTAGGCTGAAGCGCAGAAATACGAATATGTCTCTAACGCGCCACTCCTTCCGGGGTCAGTCAGTTGACCTCGGCCCCATCCCCACCCTCACCTCCTTTGCATGGCCTGTGGCAGCGCGTCATTGGCCAGCGGTATTCGTTTCTTGCCTTTGAATAGCACACTATGTAGTGCCTTACTGGGTACACTGTCAGGTATTGCCTGCACTTCATCAGTAATCTGACCACATGCTTCGCAATGAGGGCCCTGAGATGACAGTCTTTGATAAGCACAGTTTGTCCCAAATATCCCGGGCTTATCTTCCCTGCGAAGCGCTCCCAGTTGAACGAGCCATTTTCGCCACAATATTTTAAGTTGCCGGCCATTGCCGCCACGGGGCCGCCACTGTTTCAGCGCGGCTGGCGAAGGTAGCTGCCGATAAGCCGCCAAGGACTAGCCACAGCAGTGCAGCTGCTGAGTAACTAACTCGCATACCTGCCACGCATTGGCCAGATTGTTCGATACTTGTCTGTCAAATGAGATTCAAGGACGGTGAATTTTACCTATGTGAAATACATGATGCCCGTTAGCTGGAGTCTCCCGATGTCCCGAAGCATACGATACCATTCATGAAACGATATGATTCTTTATTATACTTGATACATATGATATATATGATACATATGACACTTTCGGCTTCAAACTCCACTTGGCGCTCTTGCTCGCACTTAACTCTGTTCTGAACCGTAGGCGCGAAACAAGGGAAACGAAACGCGGTTCACTCGTCTTGTTATTAGAGATTTTTATAAATCCGTGGCGATGCATGGAAAAATTGACTTCAAAGAGATTTTCGGTGCAACTTCTTTGTGTGATACTCATTTGCCGTAAATAATGAAATATTGTCTTACACAACTGCTGGTACTTATCAGGACCTATCTGCGAGAAGTCTAAATGATCATCTTGTAGTGCAAGCTGTACCGGTTACTGCCCATGGGGTAAATCGGATAAGTGGCGAAGGCGGCGCGTCGGTATCGGGTTGCACGTATCTGTTTTTCATCGCTGAGTGATATAAAGCATGGCATTAGAGTAACAAGTGTAGGGTGCTCACGCAGTGTCTCCGAGTGCGAACGCGACGGCGCGTCTTCCATGGCAGCCGTCGTGATGCCGATCCGCAGGCGGGGTGCCCTCCCTCCCCCCCCCCCCCCCGGCACCCTGGGCATTATGTTGCCAGACCCCGCCGCGGCCACTCCCCTCCACTCCCCCTCAGCGTCATCGCGGCTGCCAACACGGCCCGGCGGCCCCTCCCTCCCCATCAGAGGCTGGAGATTCGACGACGGCGGCCCTGAGGTCACGCGGTCCGCACCGCAGCGGAGCCGGCGCGGAGCTGCCGCCGCCGCCCGGAGCGGTCCCGGGCGCCGTGACCCCGGGTGCCGTGACCCGTGGCCTCGGATGTGAGCCTTTTACCCGTGACCCGGTGCGGTCCCGGGCGCCGTGACCCCGGGTGCCGTGACCCGTGGCCTCGGATGTGAGCCTTTTACCCGTGACCCGGTGCGGCCCGGGGCGCCGTGACCCTGGGTGCCGTGACCCGTGGCCTTGGATGTGAGCCTTTTATCCGTGACGCGGTGCGGCCCCGGGGTCCGGCCTCCGACACCGCAGAAATCCGTCGGGAACGGTTGGCAGAAGCGCTGAGAGTGCAGTGGGATGGAATGAGGCAGGCGCCGAATATCCGAACGTATGGAGGTGTACTCCGTGCAGGACATCCACATAGACGGATTCCACCGAACATAAGCATTGAGAAGTATTCGGGCAGCGTGCCGTGTTAAAGGAAAAGGCATAGGGTGGTGCCAATCAACTACGTACGTAAATTAAGATAAAATGACGTCTGCGCTGTACAACAATACTGTCATCCTGTCCGTACGTCATAGTGCAGTGGGATAAGGGATGGCAAGATGAGTGTCCTGTTTATATGACACGCTAAATTTCCGCGACCAAAACGTGAAGAGTACGTCACTGTTCGAAATGAAAACGAACAAAGGGCGCTGTCGATAGGACGCAACGGTAGGCTGCTTTACTGTTGACATAATCCCCCGGACCGGTCGGAGTATGTTATAACTCGCTGACGACCCGCACCGTACCGCTCCAGCGCTTATGAACAGCTTAAAACGTAGCGGAACGCTGGCGCCCGCAGTCGTGTCGGCCACCGCTGTCGGTGACACCGTCTCCCTCTGCTTCAGGATATCGCTGACGCTCTCGTGTCCGATGGACCTGAAGCTGTACCCGCTGGACAAGCAGACCTGCTCGCTCAAAATGGCCAGCTGTGAGTTGTCCGGGCGGCCGGGACGCGCGGAGCTCCCCGCCAGTCGGGGCCGGCCGGCGCTAGAAATGGCGGCCTCGATCGGGGACAGATCTGCCAATCTGCACATCCGGAAACTAACTGTGACAGCTCGGCTGTCTGGTCGTGTTGGAGCAGATAGGAACGTCGCGGCTTTGCGTCGAATTCTCTTCTCAAAGGAGCCCTGGTGGACTGGCTTTGGTTTAGGGCTGGAGGATTGGAGTCCGGAGGTCTCAGGTGGTCGGCGAAAAAGACAGTCATGGGGCGCCCTGGGCTGCCCATGCAAACCACGCGTCTGCGTAGGTGTGCGTCTAATTCGTCGCCGTCCAATATGCCTTGTCACTAATATTGCTCGGCAGCGCCCCTTGATCCAGAAATACCGAGCTGTCTTCCCGGGCCTGCGAGAGATTTCTCGCACCGGTGCTTGAGATCTGTTCCATGGTGCCGCTGTTGGCTCGTTGGCAGATGCGTGGAAGACAGATGACCTGATATTTGTGTGGAAACAAGGCGATCCCGTGCAAATTGACGACGGCCTTCACTTGCCAAGATTCACGCTGGAAAAATTCCAGACCGCCTATTGCAACAGCAAGACAAACACAGGTAAGCAACGGCGAATTAGCCGCATCTCCGATCACGGTGTTCCCTTTGAAAGCTTATTAACTACCTGTCATAAACTTAACCAGAAACAGGTGACGAACGAGGTCACTTTGCGTGTCATTGGTCGCGAATGAAAAATGAGCGCCCCCAGCTGCGGGTGCCCATCAATTTGCTGTCGGGCTCATTAGGCGGCGTCGGGTCTCGCCTGAAGCCGTGCCAGGTACGCTCAGCAGCTTAAATCGACGGTCTGTCGTCGGCCTGGCCTTTGAAAGAGGTCGGTGTTCCTCCTATGCGCGCCGTTGCACGGTCTGGGTGGGCTTCCTCCCACAAAGTGGTTTTCCTTCGGCCCACAAAGGTGTTTTGGCAGGCACGCTGATGCTGTTTTAGGCGATTTATGGTTGTTTTGTATTTACTGCAGTATGAGGCACCCGTAAAGCATATTCATTATCCCATCAGTTTAATGAAATGACGCATTAAAAGATGTATTTGATAAAGTGAACACACCCATCAGAGGCTGTAGTGTACACACCTCGTGCTTTTATATTCATAGGAAAGGAAACTATAGCATTAAATACCATTTGTTGCCTGCAGGTTATGCGCCAACTTAAGTGTTATTATGCGACCATGCATCCACAAATGTCACCTGATTAGAAACGAGCATTGTTAAAAGAAAATGTGTGCAGTAACCAACCACCCTTGACATTTTGAAATACTTAAATCTATCCTAATTAGTGTTTCTCATATGCCGGCTTTTAATTCGCTTCTATCAGGCTGCTTTCGATGCAGCTGCTGGATGGCACCCGGCCCACGTTCGCTGGCATGAATAGTGGGGAGGAAGCCGAAGCCCTGTTCACCTCCCACCATCAATAATCTCGCTGGAGCTTATCCATAAATGCATAGCAACCCTAGTAGGAGACATGCTAAGCCCGATGCGGAGAGAATTTGGTGTAACGTCGCCCTGGGAACATTAAAGCAGCTTGGTGTCAACGGCTCAGCTACCTGGTTAAATCTGGTTACCCTGACATTTACTTTGAGCTTTCGTGGGTTATATGGTAAGCTGCCTGATAATCGCCTTTTCCGGCACATGCATGACCAGCTGGCAAGAACCTCTAGTAGGAAAACAACGAAAAACGTTCACGCATCAGTGTTGAACGAGATTCTCAGTGCGGGATGATTCTTCCGGGATCATTATGACCACGTAGGTTCGCTAAATCAATCGAAGGAGACTTCGCTGCCCCTTAACGTCAGCAGTTACAACCAACAGATTTCCTCATTGGAATGCGAGCTGCGATGCACTGAGCTCCCGTTGTGATTCGACTGAGGTTCTCATGAAACACTGAAAACTTGAGGTGTTGAAAGGATCCCGGAGCTTCTATAGTTTGAACGCGCTTGGGTGATGAAGTGCGGTTGGGCTCCGCCGACTGCGAGCCTTTTGTGCGGTAAAAGCTGTTCCTTGAAGCGGGCATTTTTACGATGGTGTCCCAAGTGGGTGCAATGTGCTTGGTAACGTACACCAATATTGGAGAAATGAAGATGTTTTAAAGTGATACGGGAAGCCTGCAGTCTTGGCGACATATGCTATGCTGAGAAGTTAGGACGATGCGTGCAGAGCATGGGTAGGTGAGCCGGCTGAGTAATTTTTTTTTGAAGAGTGCCGAGCATTGGCCCGGTTTGTACAGATACTGAAAAAATTAGGCTATGTGTTAAGAAATTCCGCAAATGTATCGCTTATTTATGTTTTCTACCAGTCATAGCTAACATTTCGAAAAAATGGTAACTACCTGTAACTGGTGGCCGAGACAGATTTGGAACGGGCTGTGAGCCGCTGCGGCCGAGGCTCAGGAAGCCAGCGTCCAGAGTGGAGCAGGGATCTGATTCGTCAGTGCCTCTAGGCGCCATGTGCTGGCTGGCTGATGTCATCTGCGGGGCGCCGATCGCCCCGCCCGAGCCCACAGTTCCCCCTCGCCCCCTCACGGGCCGTGTCGTGCCCGCAGGCGAGTACAGCTGCCTGACGGTGGACCTGCTCTTCAAGCGCGAGTTCTCCTACTACCTGATCCAGATCTACGTGCCCTGCTGCATGCTGGTCATCGTCTCGTGGGTGTCGTTCTGGCTGGACCAGAACGCCGTGCCGGCGCGCGTCTCGCTCGGCGTCACCACCCTGCTCACGATGGCCACGCAGACGTCCGGCATCAACGCCTCGCTGCCGCCCGTCTCCTACACCAAGGCCATCGACGTGTGGACGGGCGTGTGTCTCATGTTCGTGTTCGGCGCCATGCTGGAGTTCGCGCTGGTCAACTACGCCAGCCGCTCGGACATGCACCGCGAGACGCTCAAGCGGGGCCGGCGCCAGGCCGAGATCGACCACCAGGCCGCGCTCACCGAGCTCGGCGACCACAATGATGACGGACAGACCGCCTACGCCATG